TCTCTCTCTCTCTCTCTCTCTCTCTCTCTCTCTCTCTCTCTCTCTCTTTCTCTGCAGATTTTCGGCATGGTCTTCTCCATGATTCTCTATTGCCAGATTGGCAAGAAGGAGAGCGCCACCAGCGCCTGAACACCTACACATGGCCCCGCCCCCCATCCCATCGCTGCCTGGCAAAGGCCAATCAGCAGTGCCCAATAGCCCACGTACCGTGTAGCCTCAGTGCTACTGTAACTTCACCTGTTGTGGAGGGATACGCTGATATTTTGGTGACATTTAATGGCATTAACACATAGCCGGGTGTGGACTTTAAGGAGTCTCAAGAGTGACAAAAGTTGTATAAATATCTTCAGCAAACATCTAAAATTCTGTAAAATGAACCAATATATTTATAATTAACTGAATGAATAACATAAAATTAGAAAAGAAGAATTCCCAAAATATCAGCGTGTTCTTTTAACTTTACCAGTTTTATTTTGTATTTTTTTGTCAAACCCACGCTATATAACAAGTAAAACAATAGTTATTGTTTCCATTGACATTGTGGCCTAAAAGAACAAAAGTTTAGAAAATGATTCTCAAAAACAATTAGTGTTGTCTGGGAGCCCATTATAAAAATAAATACAAATAAGGTCATATATGATTAAAAATATAAAAATGTCATTAGTATCTGACATGAATGATTTATGCGCAATCTAAAATTTTAGCCAAACTTTGTATTAAATTATTTTTATTGCTATTTTCTGTATGTTAACTGTCCTTAGGTTACATGAAATATGCCTGAAATCAAATGTATTGTTCCATTGAAATGTAAGGATTTGTGTTTTAATCTGTGCTGGATGCAGGAATGAGCTTCCATAGCTTTATTCCCAAACATAGTTCTGTCTGTCGCAATGTCTGCTGCTATTTTTGGAAAATATCACAAAATGATGCTCAGAAAGTTGACGTTGTGTTCCTGTGCTGTACTCCATCGTAAATACCCGATGTGATAATAAAATCATTTAGCCTGTGTAAAACAATAAGCCTTCAATTTAATATCTTACACCACCTTGTTAAATAATTAACTTTTGATTTTTTTTATTATAAAAAGCCTTTAAGTGGTTTAATGTCGCTGCTGTTGCGTTTACTTTTTTTTACTGGCACTTGTTAGTTTGGGGACATCAAGTGTCTGATAAAAACTATCCCATCATTACGAGGTACTGCTTTATAGTTCGTTGCTGCCATGTCAGAATTGGGATCTTCTATAGTGATATTTTTTATGGCTTTTTTAATAATATACTATTTTTTTTTTACATATGACTTAGTATACTTTGTCACAAAATGCATAACAAGTCAAACTGACTTTTATATTTCTTTACGACATACTATACTATGACTTTATATTTGACATGCTATACTATGACTTTTTACATTTTTTTTAAAACAAAAACGGTGCATTCCTGTGAATATTAAAACAAAAACGGTGCATTCCTGTGAATATTAAAACCTGCATCAGGAGGAATGCAGCAGCAACAAAACAGTTTTCTGGGTAATAAAATAAAAATCTTAACACAATTTCCCGTCGGTAACACTGTCCAAACACCTTTATGTTTGAGCACCATACGCCTTTGATGTAAACAGTCCTCTTGTCCAATCGGAGTTCTGTACTCCGGCCTGTGGTCCACACGTCAAGTGCAGCTTGATGTGGGATGCAACGATGGAGCCAAGTATCTGTAACGATGACATGCTATACTACGACAGATTCACACACACAACACACCCTTAATTTAGAATGAACCAGTCAATGGAAGGAAATAGCTTTTTAAATGCATGAGATGTCATTTTAAACTGTCAATCATGTGAAAACATGACACTATAAATTATTGCTGTGACAATACTAGAAATATTATCTTGAATATCTTAAATAGTGAAAGACAAATATATTGAGATTATTTCATGTTTATTATTGTACGTGTGGTGGCAGCATTTATTGAGTCTATCCTCCGTCCATCTATCTGTTCAATTCAGTTGCATCATTGAGTGGATGTACGACACACTGTAAAATGTTTTTGTTTTCCTCTCCATCATATTCGGAGTCTCTTAAGCGTCCGTGTCTTTGTGTCCAACAGATTACGCGGATCTCTTTACAGTCCGTCTACTGCGGCCACATCCCCCACGCCAGCCCGGGCAGGATGAGAGCGACCAGGACGGAGGAGAACAGGTTCACCGCGTTGTTGTCTAAGATCGGTTTCCCACAGATCCGCCGGGTCGTGGCCGACTGGTAGCTCACCACCTTCCCGATGCTCGAGTCGAAGCCTGAAGACGAGAGGAACGTAGAGTTAGTGACTCTAGAACTTAGTTTACAGAAGAAGATCTGCTAATTAACAGGCTTGTAAACAAGTCAGATGACTCACATGGAGCTCAGTTATCTTTAAAAAGTCACAGTATATATTGTCATAGTATTTTATAAAGACATCGTCACAAAGTTTTAAGTTTTTTAACCAACAAACCTCAACATTCTTCTGAATATCTTTGGGTTTTAGACAACTGTCGATTATACTGATGAGTTAAGAATAATAATGTGTTCCTACCCGAGTATTGCATGTGAGCTCCCAGGAAAGAGTCCAGCATCGACCCCAGCAGCCCGGCCACGCCCCCGTACACCACGATTGGCCACTGGGGGTTCACCAGGTTCAGGTCGTCCACCAACAGGAGCTGCGTTACGTAATAAGCCCCGCCCACCACCAGCCCGCCCAGGAAGCTGGCGACCAGTCCGACGGCGGTGACGCCTCCGTTCGTTCCTGGAGCAGAGAGAAAGTAGATCCGAGTGAACAAAAGTACATTTATGTTCCATAAACAGACGACATTCATTCTGAACATATAACCCTCAATATAAAAGACGCTGTGTTCTTGAACTTCTGCCTCCAGCAACACATGCAGCTGTTTACATGAACATACTGCAGCTTTAGGACATTTGAATGTTAAACTAATGACCTGATGAAACAGAGACGGATGTGTATAATAAACAACCTTTAAACAAAACTACGTGTGACAAACGCTTTCATCAACCAAAATGAAGCTTAACATTATATTTCATCAAAAGCCTTTTTATTCTACACGTCTAATTTAAAATCAACCGCTCAAAACTTATTTTACAATCTTACTTTTAAAGAATTCCCCCTTTTTATAAGCATATTTATTTAATATTAGTGTTTTTTACATGTTAAACTTGTTTTTGTTACTATATTTTGTTTACTTCTTGTGTCCCTTGTTTTTAATTGATTTGTTTATCTTGTAAAGCAGTTTTATTAAATAAAATCTATATTTAGTCGTAGCTGTACATGACACCGTGTGACTCGTCTCACCCGCTGGGACTTCCTTCCAGGTGGTGATGAGTCTGGGCTGTGATTGGCTGAGAACAGGCCCCACCTCCGACGCCCAGGTGTCCCCGCTGCTGCAGGCCAGAGCTCCCAGCAGAGAGAGACACATCCAGGAGGCCGTGTACTGTCTGCTGAAGTCGATGGGCATCTCACCGGGACCCACCTGAGACACAACTCTTATTAACGTTTACATTTAATAAAAACTACCCGGAGTAATACAAGCTTTGATTACATACAAGTACATTTACTGGAGTACAAATACTTTCTCCTGCACTACATCTCAGAGGTGCATATTGTACTTATTCCACTGCAAGTGTTTGTTTACCTCGATCATATAAAGCAGAGCCAGCTCTGTGGGAACTCCTCCGTTACAGAACACCTGGATCCAGTTCCTCTGACCCCCTAAACAAAAGCATGAATATTAATACTTTGAATAGATTAAAAACATAAAACAACGAGCACACCTTCACGTCTCTCACCTTCTTTGTACTCGGCGTCGAGTTTCCTCTTCTGTGCTCCTCCCCAGCGGGTCAGTTTGGAGGAAGTGATGAAGAAGGCCAGCAGAGCGGAGAAGAAGCTGTAGTTCGCCATCGTCAGCACGAATCCTACGAGCAGAGCTGAGAAACACGAGTTCAACACGTCAGAGATAACCTCACAGGACAAACGGACACTTCAGAGATAACCTCA